TCTCTATAACTGCAACCTTTCTCCACCTTGGATCCCCAGGCATTGTTGGACTACAACTCCTACCATTCCTAGCCAGCATGGCCACTGGTCAGGAGTAGTAGAACTACTGTCAGATATAACGGGAGTTGTAGTTCAGTAATATCTGGAGGGACACGGGTGGAGAGAGGGACGCGGGTGGCACTGTGGGTTAAACCACAGATCCTAGGACTTGCTGATCAGAAGGTTGGTGGTTTGAATCCCCGCCACGGTGTGAGCTCCCGTTGCTCGGTCCCTGCTCCTGCCAACCTAGCAGTTCGAAAGCACATCAAAGTGCAAGTAGATAAATAGGTACCGCTCCGGCAGGAAGGTAAACGGCATTTCCGTGCGCTGCTCTGGTTCGCCAGAAGTGGCTTAGTCATGCTGGCCACATGACCCGGAAGCTGTATGCTGGCTCCCTTGGCCAATAAAGCGAGATGAGCTCCGCAACCCCAGAGTTGGTCACGACTGGACCTAATGGTCAGGGGTCCCTTTACCTTTTTAATATCTGGAAACCCAAGGTTGAGAATGGAGAGGTCTAGTATATTGCATTTTGTCTTTCCTTCTTTTTCTGCTTGGTTCTTCTTGCTGGCTGCCATCTTTGCCTCCAGCACAGCCAGTGTGGTGTAGTGGTTAAGAGCGGTAGTCTCGTAATCTGGGGAACCGGGTTCACATCTCTGCTCCTCCACATGCAGCTGCTGGGTGACCTTGGGCTGGTCACACTTCTCTGAAGTCTCTCAGCCCCACTCACCTCACAGAGTGTTTGTTGTGGGGGAGGAAGGGAAAGGAGAATGTTAGCCGCTTTGAGACTCCTGAAGGGGAGTGATAAAGCAGGATATCAAGTCCAAACTCTTTTAATATCACTCCCATTCCAGGAAGGCTTGGGCCTTGCAATTAGTCAGTAGCCTGGTAGCCGCGGGCGACGAGGAATTACACGCAAGCAAGTGAAAGGGTTGGTGGACTGAGCATGGAGTGTGCCGTCTCCCCACTGTACCTACAATCGAAATGCGACAAGCTGGAGGACGCTTAACTAACTGTTCCTTTGCAGGCTAGCAAGCTTTGCGGACTTATTTACTCACACGGATCTTGGGGAGCAGGCTGAGCTGGCGTCTCTGCTAACCCAATCCTTGTCCTAGGCACGAAGCACCGAGGAAGGGCTGCAGGATGCCGCGCAGCTGACTGCCCAGTACGGGCGGATCTGTGTCTGGTGGTTTGGGCCCTGGGTTCCAATTCTGAGGCTTTTCCATCCAGAGACCATCGGTCCTGTGCTCCGGGAATCAGGTAGATTGTGGCAGAGAAAGTGGGCACGTGTAGAGGACGTTCCTTAGGGCGCAAAGCTGGAGCCATGCAGTGGGCTGACGAGGGTGGCATCTGGCTGCCTGTAGGTCTCATGTAGGGCATAAGAACATAAGAAAATCCTGTTGGATCAGACTCACCTAGCGCCCTTAATTTCCAGGAACAGTCCCGGATTTACAGAAGCCGTCCCGGTTTCTGATTTGATCCTGAAATGTCCCGCTTTTCCTTAGGGCATCCCTATTTTCATTGGGAAAACGTTGGAAGCTACGGAATAGGATGTCCCTAGGGCTTTTTTTCAGCTGGAACTCACCCAGAACTCAAGGAAGAATGGATACAAAAACTGATGGAATATGCAGAAATGGCAAAACTTAACCGGAAGAATAAGAAATCAAGATAACAAACTTTTTAGCAAAGAATGGAAATGGTTTGTTGAATATTTGCAGATAAATTGTAAACAGATCAAAACACTGGCAGGGTCATTGTAATAACCTGCAGTTACATAAGAGTATATATTTAAAGGAGATAAATAAATGAGTAAGTTAAGTAAATTTGGATATGCAGAAGGTATTAAAAACAATTTTAAAGAACCGCAGAAAGAGGGGGAAGGAAGTCAAGTTTTAAAATGTTAAAATGATTGTAAAATCAGTGAAATGTATATATCTGAAAAGTATACATAATATTTTTTTAAAAAAACAGCAGCAGCTCAGTTCTGGCAGTATTGCCATTCTAAGAGAACGAGGGAGGTGTTCGTGGTGAGTTCCGGCACCTCTTTTTCTGAAAAATAGCACTGGGCATCCCTATTTTCAAAGCAGCTTATCCGCTTCAGTCCATGGAATTCAATGAGCCATTGACAACTTGCCCCATGCCTGCCTGCTTGGTTCAGGTTTTGACCTTCAGACTGCCATCTTAGACATGTGACTTTATTGGGGAGGGGAGAGAAATTAATGTGGAGAGCTGGCGATAATATAGGGAGCAATTCTTTTATGTGAAGAATAAGAGAAAATTAAGTAAGTTGCACAACAAAAACATGCATTCGGAATATTCCACAGCAAGAAGCCTTGGGAAACTGCTGCACTAGTGTTCATGCATGGCCATAAATGCAAAATGATAATCAACTGGTTGTGGATATATCAATAATCAATGGAGATGGCTTCCATTATATTTTCTCACCGGAGCCTTTGGCAGTTGTAGACCCAATCATGCATTCTCTGTAATTACAATGGACTCTCAATTGTCGGAAGCTGTTTGGTGAATGTGCAGCATGGCTTTGTCAAAGGAATTAATCCACCCATCATTGCAAAGGGACGTTGTTAGATGCTTTTAGGAAGGCTTGTTTTCACCATGGTTTGTTCAGGAAACCATGAATTGTCCCACAGAGAAGCAAACAATCTCTAACTTGTTTCTCCAAAGCTTGCTTTGTTTTCTTGTGTTGGGTTTTTGTGCCCCAGCAATTGTCTGGAGTAGGCTGGCCAAACAGGATTGGACCAATTAGGGCTGTCTGGTTCAGACATAACGCCAAGCGTGCCATGGTTCATAAGCTAACACCAAATCATGGGTTTCCACCACAGTTTGTTGGCAGAAAACAATTTATGATTAGTCTGCCAAGCTGGGTTTGCTGTGGTTGGCACCTGATTTTCTCGAAAGGCAATGGAGTGCGCTTCAAGGGGCTGAAGTCAGACCGCTGCATTGGCAACACCAAAGGGACCTCCGCAGTGCGCAGGCCTAAGCAATGTGCATGGAGGTCCTGGGCTGCCCAGTCAACAAGACCCCCCTTTCGGCCTCACTGAAGTGGTCCAAAGGAAAGCAGAGCAAAACATTTGGCACCAGCTTGGCTGCTGGAGCTGCCGGAAGGAGGCATATAAGGAGCCATCCAACCATCTTAGGGACTTTGGATTTGTGTAGGGTTTACTCCTTAGCCTGTTCTTCTCCCTAATATATCCTGCAAAGCAGTGCAGATTTGGATCAGAGTTTTCCTTCTCCTACATCAGAGGTCGGCAACCTAAGGCCCATGGGCCAGAGGTGGCCCATGAGGGTCACTTAACCAGCCCGTGAGCCGCCCCCAAACGAAGCCGCCCGCTCGGCAAGTCCCCGCGCACTGCACTAAACCAGTGCGGTGCGGGGACCATTTTCCACTTCTCCAGAAATTGCTTCTGTGCATGCCCAGACGCTGTAAATCGCTTCTGCGCATGTCCGTGGCACCAGAAATCGCTTCTGCGCATGTCTGCGGTGCTGGAAATCGCTTCTGCGCATGCCCAGACACCGTAAATCACGTCTATGCATGTCCACGGTGCCAGAAATTGCTTCTGCGCATGCCCAGACACTGGAAATCGCGCAGCAAGAGTCTGGGCATGTGCAGAAGCAATTTCTGGCACTGCGGACATGAGCAGACGCGATTTACGGCATTGCGCTGTGTCGGTCCTTCCCACGGAGGATCTTCGCAGGAGTGATCCGGCCCATGCCCGGTAAGCCTTGCTGACCCTGTCCTACATGGACCACCTTTCCAGGTTGGCAAACCCCACCTGCCCCTCACTTGCCTCTAGAGCATGGGCAGAAACCGTCTTATTGACCATTGGACGCACTACTGGTTTCGTCCGCTCAATCTGCCAGAGCCTGTCTTTGCACGCAGAGGAGGTCCCTAACTCACTGAGGGTTTGAGACCCTTCGGCTATCCTCACCTGGTTTAGCTGGCCAATCAAAGCCATTCCCAGGGTGTGGGCGCTGTCACACCAACAGCTTCTAGGAGCCACAGGTGAGAGCCGAGTGCAGGGTGGGGACCAAAGGTGGACAAACTGCCCCTGAAGGAGCAGGATGTGTCCCTTGCCAGAGGTACTACCCCTCCCTTAACACCCCCCCACCTGTAAATCATAGTAAGCCTAAACAAATCATGTGAAAACCGGGTCTGCGTCTTCCTTCTCTGTCAGGGAAATGAGAATGTCCTACCCTACCTTTGCCTTACCTGGAGTGTGCTTGTGTATGTCTATATTTATGCTCTGCATCTATTAATTTGTAGACTCAAAATGTAACGCTGAGTGGTTAATTTTGCTTTAATTGAGATGGGAGAGGGAAGGTTTTGTAAAGTGCGTTGAAGGGTGCCATGCAAATCATGGGATCCGAGCATGGCTGCATTATTCCAAGGACGCTCCCTGCATGTTCTCAGGGTGGAGTTCTGTAGGAAAAAAGTTGATTTTTGTAAAGAAAATAAAAACAACTACACCACCTCTTCAACAAAATAAAAGCATGGCAAATGTAAGTCTGTGCTATCTTTGCCATTCTTCTTTTATTTTATTCTTATTTTGTCTTAATCTGAAGATAATTCCATTTTTGTGGCTGCTTGGCCTCAGTGAGCTTCCCTGCAAGTGTGCCCATTTTGTGCTTCTAGTCTGATGCAGATGCAAATATCTGGGGGTGGGATGATCCCTTCCTGAGCCTTTGCTCTGTGCTGCTAGGCAGAAGGCGTTCCAATTCCCTTGCTCCACTCCCCAGTGAAAACACTTTAAATATTTTTATTGCTTTAATTTGTGTAAGCCACCTTGAGTCGCAGTCTGGGGGGGGGGGCGGAAGTAGGATATAAATAAACATCATAATAATTGTATGCCCAATTTCTTTAATACTTAAATGTCTGGAGATCTGAACTTTTTTAAAAAGAGAGGACTAGAGTGAACGTGTTTCTGTTTTTCTCTTCCCTGCAGCTGCTGTTGCTCCTAAAGACAAACTCTTCTACGGCTTCTTGAAGCCTTGGCTTGGTAAGGTACCCCCATCACCACCACTGAAACTTGTCAGACCATGAGCTCTTGTGCCAGGGATAAGTACGTAGAGCAGGTGTGGGGAACCTTTGGGGCTCCAGATGTTACTAAACTACAACTCCCCTCATTCTTGGCCATTGGCCATGCTTGCTGGAGCTGGTGGTAGTTGCATTTCAGCAACATCTGAAGGGACAGGGGTTCCCCGCAATTGATGCAGAACAGGGACCTGCAACCTGTTCATTTGGTTTTTCGAATGACAGTTTTACAATCACATATCCAACATAAAACAGAAAGACAAGATTCCATAGAACCTCCTGGACTTCCCTTCTCTCCTTTGTGGGTCCTATTGTTAATCATTTCCTCCTGCATCTTTTATAATACAGTCAAACCTCTTCTTATGTCTGCCTCCGCTCGTGTCCATTTTGCCCAACATCTGGGGCAAACCCGGATGTAACTGGCGGGTTTGCCGCCGTTCACGCATGCGCAGAAGCAGTAGTTGCCACTTGCACATGCGCAGAAGCAGGCAAACGCCGCCTGCGCACAATGGCGCCTCTCCCCCCAGCGACCTGTTTTGACTTCTGGATGGGCCTCCAGAATGGATTGTGGTTGTGAGTAGAGGTTCCACTGTAATCCAAATCTTTTACCTCCCCATTATATCCAAAATTCACCATTAAACTACAAGGGTTATTCGAACCATACTAACAATTTTAACTGTTTACAATGGTTTTTAAGATAAATTATATATTTCCCCCATTCTTTATTAAAATTTTGGTTTTCCTGATTTCTGATTCTTCCGGTCAGGGATCTGCAACCTGTTCAGATCCAGGTCCCACTTTTCACCCAAACCAGGGGTCTGCAACCTTTAAGACAAAAAGAGCCACTTGGACCCATTTCCGAAGAAAAACAACAACCTGGGAGCCGCAAAACCATTGCGACATTTAAAGCATGCGCGCCGCTGCCCTCTGATCTGACAGCGGGTGGGAAGGTGACGTCGGGACGGTGCATGACTAACGCATGCACTGCCCCCATGCGACGTCACAGCCAGTACAGCGCCCGCCACAGTGGGGAGTGTCGGGGCGCACAATGCGCCTCCTCCCCTCGCTAGTATCCGCCCTGGAGCCACGGCAAAGGTGTAAAAGACCCACATGCGGCTCCGGAGCCGCGGGTTGCAGACCCCTGACCCAAACATACCTTTGGGGACCCATTTTCAAACCTTTAACCATATATTTGCACGGTGGGACGCTGGTGGCACTGTGGGTTAAACCACAGAGCCTAGGACTTGCCGATCAGAAGGTCGGCAGTTCGAATCCCCGCGGCGGGGTGAGCTCCCGTTGCTCGGTCCCTGCTCTTAGCAGTTCGAAAGCACGTCAAAGTGCAAGTAGATAAATAGGTACTGTTTCGGCGGGAAAGTAAACAGCGCTTCTGTGTGCTGCTGTGGTTTTGTCAGAAGCGGCTTAGTCATGCTGGCCACATGACCCGGAAGCTGTACGCCGGCTCCCTCTGGCCAATAAAGCGAGATGAGCGCCGCAACCCCAGAGTCAGCCACGACGGGACCTAATGGTCAGGGGTCCCTTTACCTTTACTAGTGCTCCTATCCCGACCCACCAATGGAAGGCCAGTAATATAGAAGTTCAAAAAGGATTGTATGCTGTCTGCCAATGGAGTGCTTATCCTAGCATGCATAAGCTTCCAGTCACTTTGGAGTGATAGATAATGTAGGTCTGGATTGGGCTTGGGTAGGGACATCAAACAGGACCCTGAAATGGTTAGGGTGCTTCCATACCTGTTGAAAGCACAGTATGAGAGTCCTTTTTACAGCCAATGAAACAACAGAGCTTACTTTACCTTGTAAGAGTTGCCAGCGTTACAGCACAAGACAAGACGAGCCACAAACAAAGGGGAAACTTGGGAGTTTAATTTGTACCTGGATCAGCCTTTTGTTTAAAGACAGGGATGAATTTTAACAGCAGGCAGGAACATAGAATTGTAGAGTTCGAGGGGACCCAACGGTCATCTAGTCCAACCTCGTGCAATGCAGGAATCTCAGCTAAAGCATCCATGGCAGTTGGCCATCCAATCTCTGCTTTGAAACCTCCAAGGAAGGAGAGTCCTCCCAAGGGAGATTGTTCCGCTGTCGAACAGCTCTTGTTGTCAAACAGTTGTTCCTGACCCTTAGTTGGAATCTCCTGTCTTGTAACTTGAAGCCATTGGTTCAGGTCCTACCCTCCAGAGTTGGAGAAAACAAGCTCGCTCCATCTTCCATGTGAGAGCCCTTAAGGCATTGCAACCGGGGAGGGGAGTTCCCTCCCCAGTTGCAAGCTCAGAAATTCCCCTCTCACACTGCAGTTAATCTTGAAAAAGCACTCATAGGAGACTCTTTACACGGGATAAAATCATTCTCTGCAAGGCTTCTAATTTGTGGACGCCAGAAAGCTACCGCTATTCATCTCCCGAAGGGGCTGTTGCATCATTGTTGAGCTGACTTCACAACTGCCGCCTAATTAGTACAACTAATTACCTGCAGGTCTATCAACTTCTGATTGGGAGATCAAGTTGGTATCTGTTCCTTTAGAACTTCCTTGCGAAGAGATAATATTGCATCCACAGTGACGCCCCTTAGTCTCCCTAGTCAACCCACCAGATTAATGTCCTCTGAGCTCAGGGTAGTTCATGCGGTTCAACATCCTGCCTATCAGGAGGAGCAAGCCAGATAATCCCAGGGTGGCCAGACAAGGGTAGGATCCAGTGCCTGTCCTTCATTCTTAGTCCGCAGCATCTGATGGAGGTATCTTGTGCCTGAATATGGCAATTCCGCTTTTATCTTTCATGACCATTAGCTACTAGTAGAGTAAGGGACGTGGGTGGCGCTGTGCTCTAAACCACTGAGCCTCTTGGGCTTGCTGCTCGGAAGGTCGGCAGTTTGAATCCCCGCAACAGGGTGAGCTCCGGTTGCTCTGTCCCAGCTCCTGCCAACCTAGCAGTTCGAAAGCACACCAGTGCAAGTAGATAAATAGGTACCACTGTGACGGAAAGGCAAACGGCATTTCTGTGTGCTCTGGTTTCCGTCCCGGTGTTCTGTTTCGCCAGAAGCGGTTTAGTCATGCTGGACACATGACCCGGAAAGCTGTCTGTGGACAAACGCCGGCTCCCTCGGCCTGAAAGCGAGATGGGTGCTACACCCCATAGTCACCTTTGCCTGAACTTAACCATCCAGGGGTCCTTTACCTTTTCCTTTTTTACTAGTAGAACTAGTGGCATACCCAGGCAAAATCAAGCACTGCACAGCTCCACCCAGGTTTTCCCATCAGAGTGGATATTTAGATCTTTGGGGTGTGGTTTTGTGGACCTGGCTGTTCATCTTCTCTGGGAGTCTCACTGGCTTCAGGCAGGCCGTTCTGCTGCCAGGATAATGCACCTCAATGACCCACTGTTTCCTTGTGCCAGGCGATGGACTACTTCTGAGCGGTGGGAAGAAGTGGGGACGACATCGGCGGATGCTCACCCCGGCTTTTCATTTTGACATCCTGAAGCCTTACATGAAATTCTTCAACCAGAGCACGGACATCATGCACGTGAGCTCCTTCAAAATACTCATGCTAATGCGCTTCCGCTCCATGTGCTTCTCCTCATGCTCTTACACATCGCTCTGCCTCAGCGCCATCTGTGCAACGCAACCAATTTTGGGTTGTTTTCTACCCTGGAGCTTATATGAACTGGGGTTCGTCTGCATGACCTTGTGTGTAAGAGTCAATGCACACTTGCTTTCTGTTTGGAAGAGATGGCCTGCATTCGTTCTGCATTCGTTCTGTTGTTTCCACTTGTCATGTACTCTGATCAAAGACTTGTGCCTGGGAAACTTGTGTGTCAGCATTCAGGGCATTCCTCTCCTCCATAATTGCTGTAGAGATTGTGATTTTTAAGTGGGGGGGGGAGAGAGAAATACCCGCAAAGGAACACTTAGTCAGAGAGAAACTTCAGCCTACCTCCTTGTTTTATTCAAATACTCAGTGCTGCTGTTGTTGTTGTTGTTGCTGCTGTTGTTTTTAAAAAAAATAATTTTGAGTTTTCCGACATTGGGAAACTCCTCCATCCAAGCTGTTCAGTAAGTTTATGTTATACAAATGGGGGGTGTTTGAACACTTGCAATGTCCCAGCTACTCCCACTGCTTGTACCTATCTTAATATTGAAGGTTTGTATGCTTTTTCAGTTGCCTCCCCACTCAGTATTTTCTTGCTAACAGTGTGCTGCAATGGTATAATATATTACCGCTTCTCAAGCAGTTTTGAAGGGCTTTGCAGGGATTTGCCTGTAAAATACCGTATTTTTTTGCACCATAACACTCACTTTTTTCCTCCTAAAAAGTAAGGGGAAATGTCTGTGCGTGTTATGGAGGGAATGCCTACGGGTGGCATGCCTACGGATTTTCCTCCTCTAAAAACTACGTGCGTGTTATGGTCGGGTGCGTGCTATAGAGTGAAAAATACGGTAACTGCACTTTTTGAATCCTACTTTGCTCCTCTGCTTTTGAATGCCACACCTGCAATTAGCACCGAATAAACTCATGTTTCATTTTTAATGTTGATAAATGTGTATGCATGGGCTGTGCGCGTTTGAATATAATTTAAGCATGTCATGGAAGCATGCCTCAAAGGGGCCACGCAATAGGGATACTACACAGTCAGCTGCTGAAAGAAAGTTCTGTTTCCAGCTCTTTCCCACATAGATATTGAACATTAGCATCTCTGTCTATCTGTCTGTCTGTCTGTCTGTCTCAGCTTCACTCATATGCCATCATTGCACCCACTGTGTAATGTGGTTCTGTCCCCAGCCTGGGCCTTCCCCTGCTGCCCTTCTGCCCGTGCTGTGTCACCTCACTGGTCAGTCCTTCACCATTTGCAGCCTTCCGAAATGTTGATTCTTGTTCTCCCCTTCCATTTTTGGGCAGGCCAAGTGGCGCAAGATGACCTCGGCAGGCCCGGCCTCCATTGACATGTTTGAGCAGATCAGCCTCATGACTTTGGACAGCTTGCAGAAATGTGTCTTCAGCTACGACAGCAACTGCCAAGAGTGAGTAGGCTGGCAGAAGGAACGCTGGGGCAACCCATGGCTTTCCAGATCCTTTGTCGCCCAGCCTCTAGGTTGTTCCACAAGGCCCTTTACCCATTGTTACTGGAGCAAGCTAGCTTCAGTGCTGTAGCCCCAACATCATAAGGATCTGGAAAGCCAATGGAAGGGGGGAGGAGAGGGTAAACCAGGACTCAGGAGAAGGAGGAACTGCCTGCATGTTCTCAGAATAGATGCTCTTTCTCCCCCACAGAAAAAGATACGAGGTTATGTTACGTGACAGAATAGCAAATGGCGTGTATGAGTCACTCTCGTAGCAGTCCAGTAAGCAGGGGGCTTCCTTGGGATGTAAACAAGTGTTCCTTGGAAATCCCTACAAGGTGTGTTCGCAGGGATCCGCAATAGTTCAGCAGCTTTGACAATGCCTTAAATGTTTTGCACAGGAAGAAACAAAAGTATTTGACTCAGAAGGGTGGCTGTGTTGGTCTGCAGCAGGTTCATGAAGCAGAGGGCTGCCTTGGGACACTATTGAACTCAGTGGGATTTACCAATGAGTAAACACCTAGCATTGTGCTGAAGGTAAAGGTAAAGGGACCCCTGACCATTAGGTCCAGTCATGACTGACTCTGGGGTTGCGGTGCTCATCTCGCTTTATTGGCTGAGGGAGCTGGCATAAATCTGGGTCATGTGGCCAGCATGACTAAACCGCTTCTGGCGAACCAGAGCAGCGCACAGAAACGCCGTTTACCTTCCCGCCGGAGCGGTACCTATTTATCTACTTGCACTTTGACGTGCTTTTGAACTGCTAGGTTGGCAGGAGCAGGGACCGAGCAACGGGAGCTCATCCCATTGTGGGGATTTGAACCGCCGACCTTCTGATCGGCAAGCCCTAGGCTCTGTGGTTTAACCCGCGTCCCAGCATTGTGCTACACCTGTGTTATCGGGGCATCACAAGTATCCATTGACAGTACTTCACTAGATGTTTCTCCATGAGCTTTTTGCAGTTTCAGTGCTAATGAGAAACAGGTACTGTTAGCTGCTAAATGTTCAATCTTTTCGGGAGTTTTTCAGCTGTTCGGGACTGTGCTGCTTGCTCATACTGGGGCCATGTCAAGACCTGAACAATGTTCCCAAAAGAACCTGACTTCTCAGACTCCAAGGACATCTTCTGCCGAGACTTCCTCCCATGTCTTCTCCTGACAAGCAGACTTATTATGTGTTCCAGGAAATCAAGTGACTACATCGCTGCCATCTTGGAACTCAGCAATCTTGTCGTGCTGCGGCAGCATGCCCTGATCCACCATTTTGACTGGCTCTACTATCTATCGACGAACGGCCGCCGCTTCCGCCGTGCGTGTGACACTGTGCACCGCTTCACAGCCAATGTGATTCAGGAGCGACGGAGGGCACATAGCCGCTTGGGAGATGATGCCTGGCTCAAATCCAAGCAAGGCAAAACCGTGGACTTCATTGATGTTCTTTTGCTGGCAAAGGTACTAGGCAGAAAGAGGGCAAGGAAAGGGGCAGTGTGGCTCCTTGTCTATGGAAGAGGGGAGTTTTATGGGAACTGATGCCCTGCCTAAAGAGGAAGGTTGGCATCAACTTGGGAAAGCTTAACCCTGTGGCTTATAGAAGAGGTAGACCAGATTCTTTGGGGACAAGGAAAGGAAAGAGCCTTAGCTCAGTGGTTAACCATCTCTGTTACATGCAGAAGGTCCCTTATCTGAAACCCCAGAGATTCATAACATATCATTTTCAGCAATAATAAAACATACTTTTATATCTTATACAGTGGTACCTCGGGTTAAGTACTTAATTCGTTCCGGAGGTCCATTCTTAACCTGAAACTGTTCTTAATCTGAAGCACCACTTTAGCTAATGGGGCCTCCTGCTGCCGATGCGCCGCCGGAGCACGATTTCTGTTCTCATCCTGAAGCAAAGTTCTTAACCTGAAGCACTATTTCTGGGTTAGCGGAGTCTGTAACCTGAAGCGTATGTAACCTGAGATACCACTGTATCATAACTAATGTCTCTCTTCTTTATCTTCTTTGCAATATTTCATATATTCCTCCTTACAAAACTTCTTGTAGTCCTACTAGCGTAACTTGTTGATTACAGTTGCTCTTCAAATAGTTCACATAATTGTTCCAATCTTCTGTGAATCTCTGGTCCCGCAGGTTTCGAATCCTTCCTGTCATCTTATGTATTTCTGCGTAGTCCATTACAGAGATTCATTTCCAGTCAGTGTGGAGCTGAGCTACACCAGGCTTCCTCAAACTCGGCCCTCCAGATGTTTTTGGCCTACAACTCCCATGATCCCTATCTAGCAGGACCAGTGGTCAGGGATGATGGGAATTGTAGTCTCAAAACATCTGGAGGGCCAAGGTTGGGGGTGTCTGAGCTACACTAACCAGGGGTCTAACCCTGGTACCCTCCCCTAGCAGAGATGCTCGTGAGACTATCAACTGGTCTTTGTGTCTTTGCAAACACCTGCCTTTGTGCTTGCAGGATGAAGAGGGTCGCCACTTGTCTGATGCTGACATTGCAGCTGAAGCTGACACCTTCATGTTTGAAGGTGAGGTGCCTGGATTGGGTCTGGTCAGTCACCGTTTGCAGTATCTCTCTGGGGTGACACAATCAGGGCACAATTCCTCCCCCAAGTCACAGAAGGACAAGGAGGATGTTCAGGTCATGTTCAGCAACTGAGTGTTTAGGAGGGGTTGAATTATGGGTTCTGACCCCCCCATTGAGGTGAAATACTTCCCAGGGAGGATCATTGTGTGCTGTCCGTGGTTCTGACCTGGTGTTGCCCCAGTTCTGCTGCATACAAACTGCAGCCTTTATCCACAGCCATTGGGGTCAGGTCAGTCATTGTGTGCTGGTTTCCTGAGACACAATACGTTCGTTTCAGTAAAACCCAGACTCTGGGGTTATATGTGCAGCTGGGGGTGAGGTGGAAAGGGAGAGAAAGAGAGAGCGCGCGCAAAGCTTTCTGGGATTAGATGCATTTCTCAACCCTTTGAAGGTGACCCGGAAACTACAATTAATCCAGAATGCAGCAGCTAGACTGGTGACTGGCTGTGGCTGCCAAGACCATATAACACATATAACATTGGCTCCTAATACATTTCCGGTCACAATTCAAAGTGTTGGTGCTGACCTTTAAAGCTCTAAAGAGCCTCGGCCCAGTATACCTGAAGGAGTGTCCCCACCCCCATCATTCACTGAGGTCCAGCTCCGAGGGCCTTCTGGCGGTTCCCTCATTGCGAGAAGCCAAGTTACAGGGAACCAGGCAGGGGGCCTTCTCGGTAGTGGCGCCCGCCCTGTGGAACGCCCTCCCATCAAATGTCAAGGAAATAAACAACTATCTGACTATTAGAAGACATCTGAAGGCAGTCCTGTTTAGGGAAGTTTTTAATGTTTGAAGTTTTATTCTGTTTTTAGTGTTCTGTTGGGAGCCGCCCAGATAGGCAGGGTAGAACTAAATAATAATAATAATAATAATAATAATAATAATAATAATAATAATTTCCTTGTGCTCAGGGGTAGTAGGTCTCCACCTTTACTTTGGGGTTACAGCTCAGTCCTCTCCAGTTGGGATCTTCCAGCTTTTGCTACTATTTACAGCCAATTGCAGGTCCAGAGAAATCTTCCCTGGTTGGACCTTCAGTTGTCAGCCAGTGCTGTGGTTACACTGAAGCTCCAGGTGATCAGGCAGGGGACCCTGCATGCCTCTTCTGTGGGTTCACACTCACTCTCCCTCCCTGCAGGCCACGACACTACAGCAAGCGGCTTGTCCTGGGTTCTGTACAACCTGGCTCGACATCCCAACTACCAAGACCAGTGCCGGGAAGAGATTCAGAACCTACTGCGAGGCCGGGAGACAGAGGAGATTGAATGGTGATGGGACATGAAGTGGGCAATCAAGAGGGTGGCAGGTGGAACTGAGCCCAGGTGTGGGTTGCTCATCTACAATGCAGTTTAATGTTTTTTTGTGCATGTATGTCCATCTGCATGTGCACAGCTGAGAAAATAAGGTAATTCAGAGAGGATTGAATGCTAGGCTCTCATTTCATCCAGTCTTGCCAAAGAGAATGGAAATGGCTGAGCGTTGACAAAGCGTAGCTTCACTGACACACCTCTGCAGATCTCCTGTGCTAATTTTTCTTAAAAGGAAATAAGTAGCTATCTTATCTTTAAAAGGCATCTGGAGGCAGCCCTGTTTAGGGAAGTTTTTAATATTTAATGCTGTATTGTTTTTAACACCTGATTGGAATCCGCCCAGAGTGGCTGGGGAAACTCAGCCAGATGGGCGGGGTATAAATAATAAATTCTTCTTCTTCTTCTTCTTCTTCTTCTTCTTCTTCTTCTTCTTCTTCTTCTTCTTCTTCTTCTTCATATTACATTTATGAATCTGGTGTGCCAAGTGGTGCTCCTCAAATCTGATCTTATGTCTCCTTTCTAAATTCACCTCTGGATCCCTCAGCCCAGCACTGGTCATCTGGTGCTGTGTTCAAAATTGTGCAGCTACTATCTGCTGTTTAATATCTGGGTCTGTTATTCTCCCACCCACCCACCCAACATGAGAAGAGGAGTATACAGTTGTACCTTGGCAGTTGAACACCTTGGCTCCCGAACAAATCAGCTCCCAAACGATCAAAATCTGGAAATTAGTGTTCCAGTTTTCGAACGGTTTTCTGAAGCCAAACGTCTGGCGTGGCTTCCGTAGCTTCTGATTGGCTGCAGGACGCTCCTGCAGCCAGTCAGAGGCTGCACTTTGGTTTTTGAACGGTTCCGGGAGTCGAATGGACTCCCAGAACACATTCTGTTTGCAAACCAAGGTACTGCTGTAATTGGGTATTTCTGGCCTGCCTAAAACAACACAGAGGGAAACGATATTGGAACTATAAGCAGAGCTCTTCCCAAATTTGATTAGGCGGAACAGTCACCCTCACAAATCCAACGTAGATCCTCTGCCATGGGGGCATCCATCCCAAGTATGCCTATGCTTCTGATGGAAGGAAGGTTCCTTTTGCCTCAAGACTCTTATTTTCCCCTGACATTTTGAGCATCCCAAGGCAGCCCATCCCCACAGTTTGAGGACCACTGCTGAAGAGCCAGCATTTTGACAGACAAGCACAAAGCCTTGCGTACAAATCTCAAAGAACAGTTATGTTTCTATTATATAGGGAAAGTCTGCAGGTGCCATTATTTGTGCTTCCGCAGCGAAAAAGCTCAAAGGGCGTGTCTGCTTGGCACTGGTCCTGTTCTCATTCCCTATTTTGAAGTGAGGGAAAGGGGAACACGACGAGGGCACCCATTTCAACAAGAACAATACAATGCAGTCAACGCAGCCTTAAGGTAGGCTATCTTGTGGCAGTTTCCCACTTGTTCCTGTGGCGATCACACAGGGCCCCGGACGTTTGACGGTCTATTGACCCTGTGCCGCCACTGTGATTGCTTTCTTCGCTGCCACCACCCCGTTTCTCACGGGGACACACAGAGTCCAGACAGTTGTTAACATTAACAAATAATCAAGTTTATTTTTAAATGCAGGAACAAGCGTATGGTTTCCGTTTATTTTTCTCTTGTCAGTTTCTTAATCTTAGTTCCTAACAACTCCAAACTGATTATTCCAACTATCTATCTGACTCAACCTAACAATTCCTCTCACTCTTTCTCACAATACAACTCTACCAACCCACTGCCTATTCCTCCCTCTTCCTTCTTCAGCTCCCAAACCTCAACTCCCAAACCTCAACTGTCAACAACCCAAACCTCCACTGACTTTCAAAACCCCCCACTCTCACTTTTACTCCCCCCTTGCATTCTCACTGGCCAATCACATCACACTCATTTTAACCCTTTCCTTATGACCCACCTAGGAGGCAAATGCCACAGTTCCCTACCAAGGCCCCCAGAATGCAACATCCATGCTACATCCCTAGGGCAGGAAGAGAAAGAGTAGAGGGATTGCCACCTGTAGTCCTGCGCACGGATGCTATAATGCACCGGCTCTATGGTTCCGTGATCCCATGATGCCAGTCGGCCATCTTAAACAGTAACTGTGATGTTTCCTCTTCTCAGGGAAGACCTGTCCCAGATGCCTTTCACCACCATGTGCATTAAAGAGAGCTTGCGCCTCCACCCGCCAGTCACGGCCATTTCCCGCCGCTGCACCGAGGATGTGAAACTTCCTGATGGAAAGATCATCCCCAAAGGTACCTGGCCTCAGCCCATCCCATGCCAGTTGGCATCACGCCCTGTGCCAGTACCTGGCAGGTAGACTCCTCCCCTCCCTCACTGCTACATCCTGCAGCAGCGGCAGTCTGGGGTCAAAGGTGCTGCTGTGCTGTTGTATTTTTACTGCCCTGTCAGAACGAGAGATGCCGTGAGCCCTAGGTAAAGGTAAAGGGACCCCTGACCATTAGGTCCAGTCATGGCTGACTCTGGGGTTGCGGCGCTCATTTCGCTTTATTGGCCGAGGGAGCTGGCGTACAGTTTCCGGGTCATGTGGCCAGCATGACTAAGCCACTTCTGACGAACCAGAGCAGCGCACGGAAACACCGTTTACCTTCCTGTCGGAGCGGTACCTATTTATCTACTTGCACTTTGACATGCTTTAAACTGCTAGGTTGGCAGGAGGCCGTGAGCCCTAAAGGTATTCAAATTGGCGGTAGGGAATGAAGTCCGTATTTCAGAATGTCCCGCGGGAATTGGGTTGCTTGTTTGGCTTGCTCACTCTTATACCGTGAAGTCTTTACGTATACATTTACAGTGGTATCTCTGGTTGCAAACGGGATCCGTTCCGGAGGCCCGTTTGCAACCTGAAAAGAATGCACCCCGCGTCTGCACACGCGCGGGTCGCGATTCGCCGCTTCTGCGCATGCGTGTGGTGTCATTTTGCGCGTCTGCACATGCACGAGCGGCAAAAACTATAAGTAACCCTTTCCGGTATTTCCGGGTCGTCGCTGGACGGAACCTGAAAAAACGTATCATGAAGCAAATGTAACATGTAGTATGACTGTACTTAATGTAGAAAAAATCAAATGCTTTGAGGTACATGTTTTCAGTCCAGGTTAATCTATAATTACAAGTCGTAAAATTCATCAGAAGCCATATTTGACGCAAAATCGTATCAGAAAATGGGGGAGGGGATGGAACCCCCCATCATTCGTTCACTGCCATGGTTGTGAGTCTAAAAGTGTTGAGGAAGAACATTAATAAGAAATTCAGCCTCATTAATTGGTTTCAGTTGTTTTCCTTTTCCTGCTCTGCTTTTTTGGCTTCCACTTTCAGGAGATCAGGCAACACATGGTGGAATCAGGTTGTGCATTTTCAGGTGCACATTAACAAAAAATATGAGGGAGACATGGCTCAGAGAAGCTGACATGTCTCCCTGTCATGTCTGGGCCTAAGTGACGGCGACTTATAAAAACATTTTTGTTTTAACTTTTTACCTTGCTTTTCCACCAAAAGGACAATCAAGGACACTTAATAGCAGCATTCCTGATGGTATGTTCCACGGGTGACTACCCATGACAAGTAAATGGTATGTTAATCCTTGGAACATACCACTGAATATACCATAGAACTGAGAAGCTTGCAGTGTTGGCATGTCCTTAGGGCTCTTTTTGTAACCGCAGCAAGCTAGGCCTCTGGATCCACTGCTGACCTTCCTTTGTCATGTGGGTGGGATGCCTCAGACTTGGCTGCTACCATTGCTCACCCCTAACATCTGCTCCAGATGGTTGGCTGACCCTCTGGAAAATTCATTGAGGGTGTGAAGAGACAGGAGAGGAAAGCGAAGCCCCACTGCATGAACAGAACACGGCATCATTCAGCCTGGACAATGAGGTCCAGCTCCGAGGGCCTTCTGGCAGTTCCCTCCCTGCGAGAAGTGAGGTTACAGGCAGAGGGCCTTCTCAGGTAGTGGCACCCACCCTGTGGAACACCCTCCCTTCAGATGTCAAGGAAATAAACAGCTATCTGACTTTTAGAAGACAGCTGAAGGCAGCCCTGTTTAGGGAAGTTTTTAATGTTTGATGTTTTATTGTGCTTTTCATATTCTGTTGGAACCGCCCAGATTGGCTGGGGAAACCCAGTCAGGTGGGCGGGTTATAAATAATAAATGATGATGGTGATGGTGATGATGATGATGATGTACACAGATACCGCCCCACCCCCCGACTGCCCCAGCCAAAAGAAGATCCCGAGTTCATTGAGAGCCAGTAATACTAACAGAGATGTGGAGCAATTTTTGCTCAGGATGTACCATTGCAAAGAGTTAACGGCAGCTCTTAAGCTGAGTCCATAGTCTATTATTATTATTATTATTATCATCATCATCATCATCATCATTATTCTCCTATTATTATTATTATTATTATTATTATTATTATTATTCTGCTCCAATAAATAATAATAATAATAATAATAATAATAATAATAATAATAATAATAATAATAATAGAGTTTATGTACCGCCCTATACCCAGAGGTCTCAGGACGGTTCACAGAAAAGATCACAACATATATAATCAGAATAAAAACAACAACCCAACATTCTCTATGGTGTGCATATCCACACATTGATTAGAAACTCTTCCTTCCCCAGGGAACATCTGCCTGGTCAGTATCTTTGGAACCCATCACAACCCTGCCGTCTGGCCAGAGCCTGAGGTATCGGTTTCTGCTGTGTATTTTCTGCTTCTTCCCCTCTCCCTTGGGATCCTTTGGGACCCTTTCCTGGGCGTGGGGGCTCCTCTAGGAGGACTCAGTAGGTCGTGTTGCTAATTTCTTTTACTCCCAACTATCTCGCTTCTTCTTTCTTCTGAAGAAGAAGTGTGCATGCACACGAAAGCTTATACCAAGAACAAACTTAGTTGGTCTCTAAGGTGCTAAAGGTAAAGGTACCCCTGACCGTTAGGTCCAGTCGTGGACGACTCTGGGGTTGCGCGCTCATCTCACTCTATAGGCCGAGGGAGCCGGCGTTTGTCCGCAGACAGCTTCCAGGTCATGTGGCCAGCATGACTAAGCCGCTTCTGGCGAACCAGAGCAGCGCACGGAAACACCCTTTTACCTTCCCGCTGGAGTGGTACCTATTTATCTACTTGCACTTTGACGTGCTTTCTAACTGCTAGGTGGGCAGGAGCTGGGACCGAACAACGGGAGTTCACCCCGTCGTGGGGATTCAAACCGCCGACCTTCTGATCGGCAAGCCCTAGGCTCTGTGGTTTAGACCACAGCGCCACCCACGTCCCTCTCTTTTTTAATATATATTTTTACTGCATCAGACCAACATGACTACCTACCTTCTTTCCAGCCACCCATAAATTCAGTCTGTTTTTGTTCTTATAGGTCTATAACCCACACCGCTTTGAACCGAAGGCCTTGCAGAACCAGTCGCCGCTGGCCTTCGTGCCCTTTTCAGCGGGACCCAGGTAACAGAGAACTCAGAGCCTCCTGGAGCCAGGTCTTAATTTTCTTGACTGTTGGCTACTGCAGGGTATTGTGAGATATTCTGGCCTAGATGATACTGACAGTGGCCACTTCCTCTTGGAAGAAGAAAGTCCTTCTTCATACTGTGCATAGTTAGTCTATCAAACCCCCTCCCCCTGGAGGCCTTTAAAAGAGGATTAGACTTCACCTTTGGTGGACGTGCCCAAGGATTAAGGCGTTCTGGGAAATGATCTATAATGAACTGAAAAAGGTATTTAAGTATACTTTTCTGAAGAAACCAGAGGCCTTTCTCCTGGGCATAGTCGGCCAATTGGTGCCAAAGAAGGATAGAACCTTTTTCATGTATGCTACAGCAGCAGCAAGAATACTTATTGCAAAGCATTGGAAGACGCAAGATCTACCCACCTTGGAAGAATGGCAGATGCAAGTAATAGACTATATCGAACTGGCAGAAATGACCAGCAGAATCCGAGATCAAGGAGAGGAGCAGGTGGAAGAGGACTGGAAGAAGTTTAAAGTCTATCTACAAAAATACTGTAAAATTTATGAATGCTGGGGGCTCTGAAAATGAAATGAAGGGGTTTCTAGCGATTAAGATAAACAAGACTATAAAGAGAGGGATAAAGGTTTAAAATAAATAATGAATGATCTTGCTGAACTAATTTTTAAAGTGGAATACAAGAAGGGAAGGCGGGTGGAAGTAAAGAGAATAAGGTTTTGAAAGTTATCAATATGAAAGAGTGTTTTTTTATGCTAAAATTTTTTCTTTTGCATTTTTTCGTTTTTCTGTTTGGATTTTTGATGTTTGTGGTCTGTTTTTGTGATTTTTGTTGATTTTCCTTGGCTGTTAATTTTTTTGAAAAATCCTAAATAAAACATTATTATAAAAAAATAAAAATAAAAGAGGATTAGACAAATTCATGGAGGAGACTGCTGCAGGCGAAATAGGTCAGTCAGTAGAGCACGAGACTCTTCATCTCAGGGTTGTGGTTTTGAGCCCCCATGTAGGATGTAAAGATTCCTGCATGCCATGACCCTCATGGGGCCTTCCAGCTCTGATTCTATGAAAAGCCCTCTCCTTCGCAGTTATTCCCCCAGAAAGAGTTCGCGGTCAGGGACATCTGAATTTATTTTGGTCCCCGCGTGAAAGGGGGAGTTATCACCGGATAGAAGTCTCCAGTTCTGATCTGTAAAAATGTAAACAGTTCATCTATGGGCACATAACATCAAAGTGTGAAGGAGACTGATGTCAGTGGCTACTAGCCATGATGATATGGCTGCCATACGTCCAGATTTTCCCGGACATTACTGGTACAGTGGTACCTCTGGTTAAGAACTTAATTCGTTCTGGAGGTCCATTCTTAACCTGAAACTGTTCTTAACATGAAGTACCACTTTAGCTAATGGGGCCTCCTGTTGCTGCCACGCCACCGCCACACGATTTCTGGTCTCATCCTGAAGCAAAGTTCTTAACGCAAGGTAGTATTTCTGGGTTAGCAGAGTCTGTAACCTGAAGCGTCTGTAACCTGAGGTACCACTGTATTTCAAAGGTGGAATTGACAAACGGGGGGGGGGGGTTCAAAAGGGGCCGCTTTGTCCTGGATCTTAGACAAGTCAATCATGGTTTTTCAGGGGGCGTTTTTGGTAAACCAAGTTTTGTCAACAACTTTGAGGGTGTCCTGGTTTTTACTTTTTGAAATATGGCAACCCTACATGATGACTATGCTCTGCGCCTCCACAGCTGTGAGAACAGGATGGGCCATTGGCCTGATCCAGCGGGCTCTTCTTACATTCTCACTGTATAATCTTTTAGTAACATTTTCAAACATTTTCACAATCATATTGATATCAAAGAATTACATTGTTTGATAAACTGACTACAGTAACCTCTGGTTACGAAGGCTTCAGGTTACGAGCTCCGCTAACCCAGAAGTAGGTGTTCATGGTTGTGAACTTTGTTCCAGGATGTGAACGGAAATCGTGTGCCTCTGGTGCGCACGCAGTGGGAGGCCCCATTAGCATAAGCGCGCCTCAAGTTAAGAATGGTTTCAGCTTAAGAACAGACCTCCGGAACGAATTAAGTTCATAACCAGAGGTACCACTGTATAGTTTGTTTGTTTTTAATAGTCCACAAAAGGCCTCCATTCTTCTATGAAAAGTTTGTCATTTCGATTTCTTAAATTCACCATCAACTTTGCCATTTCTGCATAGTCCATTACTTTCAAAAGCTATTCTTCCTTCATTGTAACTTTCCATTTCTGTGCATATGATATTCTAGCTGCCATTGTCACGGACATAAATGGTTTAGTCATCGTATTTGAAACCTCCGTCCCTATTATGCCTTTATGGAAAGCTTCTCGTCTTTTGGAAATAGCTCATTTAAATTTCATTTCCTTATATATCATTTCCCAAAAGCCTTTAGCTTTTTTCCATGTCCACCATATATGGAAGAATGACCTGTTGTAAGAAAATCTGCTCCCTTTGCTTTATGGGGTATTTCAGAGCCCGTATGGAGTCCTTAAGTCGGTTCCCTATTGGTAGGAGAAAATAACAGAGGCCAACCAGAGTATATGGAGAAGCAAAGCGGCTAGTAAGCCTGATCTCCACTCACCACACACAGGAGGGAGGAGAACCCAGAGCAATAGTGTGCAAGCCCTTATATAGTCTTTTGAAATTGCCCACCCTGTAGCCCAAGACCACCCCCCAAAACATCATACATACATCACAGAAGGAGGCGGTCTACAGCAGAAATCCTGCCTGCCAGGATACCTGATAATTGTCACTGATTGCATTACCTGGGCAGCCTGGCCATTCTTTTGTATGGCTATTCTTTTGAATAGGCTCACCCTATTCATACACAAATACGCCCTTAAGACAGGATTTGCAAGGAAAAAGACAATGGGAAGGCTTTCCCCATTTGCCTCCCTTACTGCAGAGGAATATTTGAGGTCATTGGGAGAGTCAAAATGGCTTCAGGATTACTTTCCCATACTATTTCAGACACATGGTTCATATATTTAGATATGTGTGATTTAAGAATATTTATTCTATATTTGAGGCCTTAAAATTCTTATAACATACTCATGTATCTGCTTATATTTCCAACATACGCTTGACACATTTTTATACATCTTGGCTGGTTTATATGCTGTGAAATACCACCTCTACATCATTTTAAGATAACTTACTGTTAATTTACAAGCAGTGAATTTCATATCCTTTTTCCATAACTTCTCCCAAGAAGCTATATCAATACGATGACTTACGTCTTTGGCCCACGGAATCATTGTTGACTGCTCTCCTTACATGCTCACATTGATCCATCTACAGTGGTACCTCGGGTTAAGAACTTAATTCATTCTGGAGGTCCGTTCTTAACTTGAAACTGTTCTTAACCTGAAGCGCCACTTTAGCTAATGGGGCCTCCCGTGCCACTGCGCCGCCACCGCACAATTTCTGTTCTCATCCTGAAGCAAAGTTCTTAACCCGAGGTACTATTTCTGGTTAGCAGAGTCTGTAACCTGAAGCATATGTAACCTGAAGCGTCTGTAACCCGAGGTACCACTGTATTTCCTCTTGGCAGTGTGGTGGGGGAAGGAATGTTGGGGAGCCTTCCACAACACTGACCTCTTTTCCGTTTGCAGGAACTGCATCGGGCAGAACTTTGCTATGTCGGAGCTGAAGGTGGCCCTGGCCTTGACCCTGCTGAGGTTTGTGGTGAGGCTGGATGAGAGCCAAGCCGTGCGCCGTTTGCCAGCATTAATTCTACGGGCAGAAAATGGACTGTGGCTACAGGTGGAGCCAGTGCGTACCCAGCAATGATCGGAGAGATGCAGAAGATTGGAAGTCTCTGTTCCAGAGTTTCAGCCTGCACTGTAATGCGCAAAGAGATTCAAGGTGGCCAGAGAGCCCTCTGCCTCAAACAACACGGAAGGCACGACTCAATTGTCTTTGCCTCTGAGCCCTCGTTTCTGTCTCCGTGAAGGCGCTAGCAATAGTTTTGTGCTACATTAAAGATGAAGTGTCTTGACCATAAAATGCAGTTTTGATTTTGCTGTAGATCCCTGACAGATAATGGCATGCATAGAAGATCCGCCATCTCCCTAGCAGTTTGCTGCACAACTCTGGCCATAGGGCCTGTCTGGTATCAATAAGAGAATCTACTTCCTGAGTTGTAAAGGAGCACATCTGAAGGCAGGCATTGCAAACAAACTTTGGCTTCAGTTGGAAGAGGCTCCCTTGTTTACACTTCATGTTGGTTGAGTGCTCCCCTTGGTCCTGATCATGAGAAGACCAGGGCCTGCAACCTTTGGATGAGAGAGTGCTAAAAAAAATAGTATAATCGCTTTGCTTCTTGAAAAATTTGCATGCTCCTTCTCTTTCCATGTAAAATATATATTTTAATTGATACTTATCAAAAGAAACATAACATTCATGCCCATTACAAGTATCTTTTTCTAATACACCAGAATAAAAGAAATATTTTTAAATCTACACCCTTGTGCAAATTAATTGAAACAAAGCATGTTTTCTATGCCACATCAATCAGTCTGTCAAGCACCCACAAAAGAAGATGGTTTGGGGATGCTTCAGTTATTATGCTGTCGGAAGCCTGTATGCAGACAATAGAAGGAATGATGCGCTCGCCACAATATATTGAGGTTCTATGAAAGGGAGTTATTCCAGAGCTGGAAAAGAGGTATCCTGACGGTACTGGGATATTGCAGCAGGACCTAGCCCATGTCACACATCAAAAGTGGTGAAGAAATTCATGGCGTTTCCGAGCACAATTCAAAGTGTTGGTGCTGACCTTTAAAGCCCTAAATGGCCTCGGTCCAGTATACAGTACCTGAAGGAGCGTCTCCACCCCCATCATTCTGCCCGGACGTTGAGGTCCAGCGCCGAGGGCCTTCTGGCGGTTCCCTCATTGCGAGAAGCAAAGCTACAGGGAACCAGGCAGAGGGCCTTCTCAGTAGTGGCGCCCGCCCTGTGGAACACCCTTCCAGCAGATGTCAAAGCAATAAACAACTACCTGACATTCAGAAGACATCTTAAGGCAGCCCTGTTCAGGGAAGTTTTTAACGTGTGATATTTTACTGTATTTTTGGTTTCTATGGAAGCCGCCCACAGTGGCTGGGGAGGCCCAGCCAGATGGGCGGGGTATAAATAATAAATAATAAATTATTATTATTATTATTATTACTATTATTATTATTATTATGGCAGAGCAGCAAATACAGGTACTTGATTGGCCAGGGAATTCCCCGGACATAAATCCCATTGAGAATTTGTGGGCTATATGCCAATTAATTGAAACTAACAATGAATTTAGTACAGTAGTTTATTGTACAAAACTCACATATACATGTACAAAATTCAGATATATGTACATTAGTAACGGATATGACCTCCACTATTTTTAAGCAGCATTTGAGCACGGTTTGGCATGGAGTCTACTAGTTTCAAACAGTCACTGTTGATGTTCGGATCCCTGTACCACACCTGAATCAGCGCCTGAGTGAGCTTCTCCATAGTCGTACAGTCTACAGCACAGAGGCAACTTTGGCATATATAGCCCACAAATATATAGCAGGCTTCTGACAGCATAATAACTGAAACATCCCCAAAACAACTTCTTTTGTGGGATAGAAAACATGCTTTGTTTCAATTAATGTGCACAAGGGTGTAACCTAAAAATGAACAGGAGCAAAAAGAAGAAAAACGTAAAAGAGAAAGACTTCTGGTTCTCTGCCACCTAAATATAGTATTCACTCATTAACATCCAACTGTTCTATTTTCTATAAGCCACTATTTTTTCAGTCTTCAAATCCAAGTTCAAAATCATTGACATTTATTAAGAACCGAAAACGTTTTTGCGTGAAAGAGAAAATATTTCCCTCTTCTGAAGAAGTGAGTGCCAATCCTTAAGTAGCCACAGTCCACACAGAAGATGGAAGTGTCTCCAGGCTGGGGGGGGGCGATGCCCAAGTTTTGCAAAAGTACAAAAGACCTTAAAAAAAAACTACACGGAGGCGACCACAATACAACCCAAGCACTCTTTGGTGAGAGAACGGCAGCCGAGTTTTAACACAGCAAAAAGCAGGCAGCAAAGAAAAGCATGGAAATAGAGGCTGTAAAACCTTTAAAAAGTGCCCACCTGGCGAGTCCCTGAAATGTCGCCTTTTAGAAGTTCTTTCCAAGCTATATGAGAAGCACGCTAGCCTTAGCCTTATGAAAACCCATGCCACAAAATAGTTTGGTCTCTATGGTACCGCACAACTGCTTCTTGAAAAATTTGCATGTCCTTCACCTTTGCAAGAAATAAGCACCTTGCAGCACATTTAGTGAAATGTTTGCTGCATTTGGCATCACTGGGCAAATTCCATAGGTTCTACACACGTTGCGGTTGAACCTTGGATCAGAAAACAACAGTTTCAATGCCTGGAGAAAGGATACTGAAATCAATACCAGGGTATTAAGTAGCTTGTTGAGGATTTGATTTAGGTCCAGCCAGTGGCGTAGCGTGGGGGGTGCAGGGGGGGCCGGCCGCACCGGGCGCAACATCTGGGGGTTAGGGTTAGGGAGCGCAAATCCATGGGTTAGGGGGCACAAATCCACGGGTTAGGGGGTGCAAATTACTTGCCTTGCCCCGGGTGCTGACAACCCACGCTACGCCACTGGGTCCAGCTAAAGCAGGTCATTTTCTCCCACTTATCTCAGATCCCACTTTGTGTGTAGATTATTAACCAGAGTGTCCCCAGGCCTCCCTTTGAGAAAATATAAATTGATCATTGTCATCTATCCAAGCAATCAGCCTAGCAAAGGGCACCTCTCCACACCCAGAGAGCAAAGGGCAAAGCGGAAGGTGAACGACTATAGACCCAACATCATGCTGCTTCTTTTTACAAATCTTTTATCTCCGTTGTACATTGTTGGGGAGTACAGTGTGCCTTGCCTCCAAATAAGTCTTGTCTCCAAATAAGTACTGTACAGTATTCAGCTGAGCACCGGTGTTTGGGTTAAAGGGGCCATTTAATCTTTGTTGTTACCCCTAATGTTTTTTTATGTGGTTGTTGTTGTCATTTAGTCATGTTCGACTCTTCGTGACCCCATGGACCAGAGCATGCCAGGCACTCCTGTCTTCCACTGCCTCCCGCAGTTTGGTCAAACTCATGCTGGTAGCTTCGAGAACACTGGCCAACCATCTCATCCTCTGTTGTCCCCTTCTCCTTGTGCCCTCCATCTTTCCCAACATCAGGGTCTTTTCCAGGGGGTCTTCTCTTCTCATGAGGTGGCCAAAGTATTGGAGCCTCAGCTTCACGATCTGTCCTTCCAGTGAGCACTCAGGGCTGATTTCCTTCAGAATGGAGAGGTTTGATCTTCTTGCAGTCCATGGGACTCTCGAGAGTCTCCTCCAGCACCATAATTCAAAAGCATCAATTCTTCGGCGATCAGCCTTCTTTATGGTCCAGCTCTCACTTCCATATATCACTACTGGGACGCGGGTGGCGCTGTGGGTAAATCTTCAGCGCCTAGGGCTTGCCGATCGCTTGGTCGGCGGTTCAAATCCCTGTGGCGGGGTGAGCTCCCGTCTGCGGTCCCATCTCCTGCCCACCTAGCAGTTCGAAAGCACCCTAAAAAGTGCAAGTAGATAAATAGGTACCGCTTTCTAGCGGGAAGGAAACGGCGTTTCTGTGTGCTGCGCTGGTGCCGGCTCGCCAGAGCAGCTTCGTCACGCTGGCCACGTGACCCAGAAGTGTCTCCGGACAGCGCTGGCCCCCAGCCTCTTAAGTGAGATGGGCGCACAACCCTAGAGTCGGACACGACTGGCCCGTTCGGGCAGGGGTACCTTTACCTTTTACCGTGTTACGGAAAAATCTCAGTTACCCATCTCGTCGGGCAGAGCCCTGCGGGTCCCTGCGAAATAAAGGAAGGAGTCCAGCCACCAACTGAAGCAAATAGCTGTAGACCAAAGTTTATTGCACAACAGGTTCAAAGAGGAATTTTGAACCCCGAGGTTGGGGTGACAATGACTTTTAAAACTTTCCTACCATATCCCAGAATACAGTTCACACAGTATCATTGCTACATCGCTGACATGTCACAAAAGGGGAGGGTAGACAGGGGTTATACTAGTTTAACCTTGGCAAACGTGTCCAGACAAGTCCTTGGTACAAGATTAGCATAAGCAGACATGTCAGGGCAAGACCCAGGTATAAGATTAGCATAGGCAAACACCTCTGAAGTCCCACCACCCAAAGTATGATAGAATTTCCTTTGCATGTCTGGACCCCTTGGCAAGTCTGGTGATGGGATTAGATTTTCCTTGGCCAACAATCAGCTCAGCAATTGTCACCTCTGGGCACTTCCTGGGGTAGGAGGTGTGTATACATGTCCTCAGGCTTGGGGAGGTGGCAGGGAAAAGAGTCATTTTTCCAAGGGCAAAGTAGTGTTGAAATGGAGGAAACTGGCAAAGGAGTTGATTTTATTTGATTGTTAAAGCTAGGTAACTTCCCTGAGCTGTCAAGTCCAAAGGAAACATTTATGCATAATATTTGTAACATTTAACAACTTTAAAGATGTTCCCCCCACCACAAATTTCTGCAACAGGCAAGAGATTCTTTGCATTGCCAGGAGTTGACCCTCAGGGTCCCTTCCAACTCTATACAATCCTATGGTTCTAGGATTACTTTTCTTCTAAATGTTATTTTGCTGTAGGGCCACCGTGATATAATAAAGTGGCAATTGTGATAATACAAGATAAAACACAAAATGACCAAGTCATTTAAATTATTAACATGTTGCAATAAAACCAAAGGCTGCACCTTTGCCTGGAGTTTAAAAGCATGTGCATATATCAGAGTGAAACTTTGTGCAAATCTGAATTAAAATGGTGCATATCAGAGTTGAAACGCGGGCCTATCTGAATTGAAATGCGTGCATATCAGACCAGTGCCGGATTTACGTATCAGCTAAACAAGCTATACCTTAGGGCCCCACTCTCTTGGGGGCCCCCAAAAAAAATTAAAGGAAAAAAACAACTGGATGTACATTTCCAAAACATAAGATAAAAAAACAAATAAAATAAAACTGTAATAACTACATACAGCAACAGTGTTTTGTGTTCTGTAGGCTCCTATGAAGGAAGTAATGGGCGCTGCCTGCTCCTTAAAATATCACTGGTTTGCTCATTTCTAAATATAGGGTGCCTACATTCTGCATGGACTAGTATATACACCTTCTTAATTGTATTTCACTATTAATATAAAAGGTAAAGGTAAAGGTACCCCTGCCCATACGGGCCAGTCTTGACAGACTCTAGGGTTGTGCGCCCATCTCACTCAAGAGGCCGGGGGCCAGCGCTGTCCGGAGACACTTCCGGGTCACGTGGCCAGCGTGACATCGCTGCTCTGGCGAGCCAGAGCCGCACACGGAAACGCCGTTTACCTTCCCGCTAGTAAGCGGTCCCTATTTA